TACAATACAATACTATACTATATTGTGGTTCCTACTTGTTTGGTTTAGGACTGTAGGCCAAGTAAATCATGGTCGAAAAATAGACCATGATTCATTATTAAGGTTTATACGGATAGCTTGTCTGAACTAAAGCACGCAGTTGTCGTGAGGACCCCGAATCGAAGTCCTCAGTTAACAAAAGCCTAACCTGAGCGCTTCTGTGTAGACCGCAGTTGATTAGGGATCTGAGTACCATTAGGCGAACATACATACTTGAGATCGGTGTTACACATTCAAGGTATCCATTAAGTACTATAGTTCAATCGAGCTATTGACCACTGAGTTTCGTATGTATGTTCATTCACCTCTTTGAGAGCTTTTAGATCACATTCTTTAACTCCACCGGATGAGCTGGATGCCCGTGGCTCATCGATCCGGGTATATTCTCAGGTGTTTCTCGTTCGACCTCTCTATTTACTCTCACAGGACCGCCCCAACAGCTGCTTTAAGAGACGCACTTTGTGGGAAACTTTCAAGGAGTAGGATCGAGGATTCATTCCCCTTTCGCAAAACCCGGGGTTTTTCAAAGACAAAACTCAAGAGATTCAATGGTATCAGGCCTTACAATATAAAGTTGATCGATTTCTGAAACTATTTCCCCTATCCGAAAGAGTGGTCCATATGTTGGCAATCAAGCAGAACGAGTATGAAAACTCAAGTGCAACAGTTCGGGGGATTTCGTAGACGTTTAAATGGACTTGGACTCCACTTAAGCGACAGAGTCATTGGATTTTCAATCTTGAAATACGACAATTTGATCCAACAGGATTGTACAATGAACTCGATTTCCTTGATGTTAAGTACTGCATGGCGCATCGTGAACATAAACTACGAGACAAAATCCATTCAGTGACGTATCGTCAAACTCAAACTAACACAATCCCAAACACTTCTGGGAATGAAGACTGAGAAACTCCAGTCATTAAATGGCGATATTGTGTAGTGCAGTCTCAAATGATTCGAAACTTATAACCAGTTAATGCTTATCCCTATCGGTTGCGTGGCTTTTCGAACACCAGGTACTGACACGTCAGCCGTTTTTGAACGCCCTCAAAATAAAAAGTTTTCTTAACAAGCTGCTTGTATCACTATCAAACACTCACCGGTAGCGGTTAGGATGTCGAAGGTACAATCCGTATATGGGTTTTTCACCGAACAGTTTACGATATCTCACCTCATTTTTCGTCAAGACGGTAAGCAAGTTGCGCCTGGCACCCTCAAAAGGAACGCGAGCACCAAGACAGAGAAGATAGTGGTAAAGGGCATTCAGACCATAGCAGCGTCCAATATCCAAAATTCCAAGTTGATTTTGTGGCAATCCTGAGGGCAAAACATCATCGCGAATAAACATAGAAGGCAATGCTCCAGTCTGCTTGTAGTCAAAATATACAGACAACAGTGGCTGGTAAGTTCTGAGGTGAATGACAGTACTAGGTAAACAATCAGTAGGAAGCTTACTTTGGAACGATTCAACCGCAAATCACTAAATCATATCTATTGGGAACTTAGAAAAAAGTTGGTTGTAAAAAGGCGAAACAAAGACTAATCACGATACGGACTTCAGATTGAAAAATGAACAAATTAAGCTGCACGAGGAGCCAAACAATCCTTCAACGTGTTACGTGTTCGTGATAAAAGCACAACAGAAATTTCCATTTAGATTTGAATTGAAGTCAGCACCTACCCAGTGCAGGATCAACGTGAAATGCCGCAGTGTAATAGCCAAATGCCAGGGTTTTTGCACCCAGTTCTCCCAGTTCTACAAGGTACCGAACTGAAGCCATATGAAACGATTAGGCGCTGACAATGGGGAACTTACACAAATCCCCGATGTACATCAGACAACGTTGCGCGACCCGGCACGGAGAATCCACATGGGACAGATTGTTGCGTAGGTCAAAATGGTAGATATATTCTGCGAAAAGGCAATATAAATGTAAACGACACACGGTACCGTTGTACAGAGCCACGTGGAACGGAGTGGTGAGCCAAGAATACACGGACGGTTCCAGTGTCATTAAACTTTCAGACTGAACTTGCAAAAGCAGAGACTGATAGTACCCAATACCGCTGAGAATGTGCATTCGCAGTGATAGCTCAAAATCAGCAATACAATCGGGTCGATCATTATTCTGCGGAACTGTGCTCAGCGAAAACAAACGGCAAGTCTGCTTACCTTCACGTACAATTTGTACAAATACAAGGGTTCGTAAAACACCTTCCGCCATAGGAGTTCTTCCGCTCGCTTGGCATACGAGACCGAATCGATGAACATCA